AGATATTACAGCCCAAGGCAGTAAAATCTGAAAGATGTGGTACATGAGTAGATAAAGTTTGGGAACCTCTGTTAGAGAAACTGAGGCTGAGGAAAAGAAACAGAGGCTGGCTGTGGAGCTGGGGGAGAGGGAGCAAACCCAGTACACATGAATTTGTTGTAACCAAGGAAGTGGCCAAGTACCCAGTATTCCATACGATTTTTACGTAAACCAGAGTATAAATAAGTTGAAGATTAAAGACCTCTCTCTCTTCTCTTTCGGCGAAGTTCAGGAGCAGTGAGTCCTTGCGTTAGTCTCACTTATCTAAAGCTGAGGCCTGCAGCGACCACTGGCCTGCCACGTGGGGGTTCGGAGAGTGCTGGCTGCGTCTGCCAATCCAGCTTTTCTAAGGGATGTGGTGAGATCTGTTTTGTTAGTTATTAGTATAGTTCTTGAGTTTGATCGGGTATACCTGTTTAGTGTCCCTTTTATTCCCTTTCATGCCCTTTTTCCCCTTTCCCTATCCCTTCGGGGGGGTGGATCCCCTTTTACTGTGTATATAGCATCTTAACTGTATATAACTATAATTTACGTAAATATATATATATATTTATATAAGCAACTTGACTTTAGGTTCTTTAATTAATTTCTATAGGTTTTTTTTTCCTTTGCCCTAAGGAAAGAAGGAAGGGAGAGAAAGGCTGCTGTCGTGAGTTTTAAGCATTTAACAGAAAACCAACTCCAAACTATCACAAGGGCTTTATCAGTGGTCATATTCTCTCCATGTCTGCTTACATTATACTGCGTTACAATCACAGTTTCTGCTGGTAAGATAAAATTTTTCTGGCAGGCTGGGACTGTTTGCAGATGGGTGGGATGGCTTCTTGCTTTATTAGAACTTCAGAAAAAGATAGGTAAAATATTACAGAAAACTCATAACACAGTACAGAATCAGCACTGAAGGAAGTAGATCTTCAGTGCTCAGGAGGAAGCACAGAAAACTGTGTGCTGGTTTTAAGCTGGCAGGTACCACTGTCTTATATTCACCTGTATGTTTTCTGGTGCCCAAAAATCATTTGTTCACATACTTGGATATTATTTTTGCTTGACAGGGATGAAGCTTAGATTTACCGAGGTTATCAGGAGGGGAAGTGGCCTTTTCCCACAATAGCCAGTTACTTTATTGATGGCTTTTCCTTTATAATGAGATTTGATTTTTGTTTGAACATTGAAAATAACCCTTGGTGCAGATGCTGATTGCCAAACTTAGGAGCCACCCTTTGAGAGACTGCAGCTAAAATCACCACTGATCCCTGCTGCTGTGGGGTTTGTGGGGGCCCCAGGCAGAGCCTAAGGCAGATGCCACTGTCCCCTCCACCCCATGTGTGCACGGCTCACACTGCTCTGCAGCTTAGCCAAAGGATCCCAGCCTGCCTAGGGCTCAGGTCCTTGCCTACTGACACAGCAGAGGAGCTCTACCCTGCAGGGACATGAGGAAGTCTAGAAGGGGAAAGGATATTTATGGGGAGGGGGACATCTGAGAGACTGGGAGGATGCATCTCCAGAAGGAGAGGCAGGAAATGCCCCATGAATGTCAGATTGAGTTATTCCTGAATTCTACAAGTAATGCCACAAGGGAAATGACATGGATCATCAAAGCATTCCTTTATGCCCCAATAAACTCCTCCTTGTCTTAGAAGCAGATCCTATCCATATTAATAGAAAACCAGTGTGTGTTCTGAGTGTCCAGGATAGCTTTATATATTTTCCTTAATCAGACAGGAAAGGAAAGAAAACATAGGCAACATTTAAAAAATTGATACAAACTCCAAAAGGGGCAAAAACTCAACATGCATAGAAGCAATGTTGTTGAAAAGGACTCAGGGTTATGAGTCCCTGTCTGGAATATTTAACTGATCTATGGAAAGGGGAAAAAATGTTCAGAAATTAATCTGGCAGTGCAAGGAGTGCTCTATAAAATAAGCCAAGCCTCTTCTGGCAGTCTTTAGGCATCTGAGACGCAGAGCCCAGGTAGGTTCCCTGGTTTGGATACAAGCCTCTGAGTTGCTTCCTGTCTGGCATAAGTGGCTTGGACTATTGGCCTCCAGTTTCAAAAGTAACCAAAGATTGCTGTGAATCCATCTCTGAAAACTCTGATAAGGTGTTTTTTTTTTTTATTGTAAAAGATGTGTTCTAGTTTAATCAGAAAACCCGCTGAAACTGTTCAGAAGGGCAGGCAAGATAGTCAGAAATGTTCCCCTAAACCTTAAAAATCCATTTCCAAGATTAAGATGCTAAAACCTGAAAGATTTCCTAAACTTTCAATATTTAAAGTTGTTGCCATGTGTCTTTTGGCCTGAGGTTCTATTCTAGTTCAGAGAAGATTCAGTTAGTGTTTTCTCCAGGAATGAAGCCGAATGTCAGTGGTCCCATGCACATCCTGGAGTTTGGAGCTGAGCTGAGTGGTCATTTGTACTCCAATAGCCGTGGATTTGCCTACTGTAAGGTTTGGGGTCCTGTATTTACAGTGGGAGATAGTAAGATCCACATGGATCTTTTTAATCCTTGCGTATCTGTAGCCATCAGTGATGGATTCTTCCTGTTAAGGTGGAAAGAGACCTTTTTATGCATCTTTAGTGCAGCACATTTCCATTACAGGAGCCAGTATGTAGCTTCATTTTTTGCCATCTGGCCCAAGGAGTTTCCCTTTAGGAACTACAGTTAGATTTCATTTCTAGGTGAAACCATTTTCCTCCTTGCAGAATTCTTCCTGAAAACAGGTAAGCCAGAGCAATTTCATTTCCCTCTCTTTTGCTCAGCTTGGATGAGTGGAAGAAAAAAAAATCAAGATTTGGGAGCTGCAGTAAAGCAGAGGAGCTGGGAGGCACACCAGCTGGGACTACAGGGCAGCTTTGTCCCTGAGACAGAGGTTAATGTCCTTATATAGGCTTAATCAGGCCATCTAAAGAATTCCTAAGTAGCCAAATGAGAGCTGTGAACCTGGTGCCATAGATGGCTAGGTTTGATGGAGAAATTCTAAATTCCTTGTCAGTCTACTTGTGTGTATCTACTCTCAACAAGACCCTTGGAAATGACTTGCACAATGATTTGTTATGCTGTCATTGCTCATTAATCTGAGCTTCTGCAAATGATTTTTATTCTTCTGAAGTAGAAATAAAATCCTCATTAAAGAATTTGTTTGTTTTAAAAGCTACACAAAAGGATTACAGGGCCCTTGCAAACAGATATAAGAAAAAATGTGGTTATGCAAAACATTCCCTCTCATAAGCCCTTGCTTTCCATTGACTCCCAGGACCTCTGGGCTGAGCCTGAAGTGCATTGCATGGCTCAGCTCACTACAAAGCCTGGGGTCAGTAATTGGAATCACATGGACTCGAGGCCTCTCCATCTGACTGTAGGTGAGAGTGCCAATTTATACTGGAAATGTGTATTAATATTGTGCAAAAAACCCACCCTGAACCAAGGAAAAACCTACTGTCAGATCTGCAGATGACCAGTCATGATGTCTTCTAGAAATACTTCTTAAATAGTTACTTGAATTTGCCTCATTTCTGGTAAACAGCTTGTGGTGGTAAACTAAACAGGAACAAGGAATTCTGACTCTGGAGTAAGAATGCCCACACATGGTGTTAATCAGGGGAACTCCATGTGTGGGCAGGCTATTATGTGTGACTTTACACTGGTTTAGGCACACTGGTGAACTTCTTTCCACCCACCTTTAATCAATTAGGAGAGGTTTTAAAGTGAAGTGAAATAACACAATGTTGAACTGAGTTTCTGTGGAGGGGACTCCTCCAGTTCAGTTAGGCTGGTACAAATTTTAGGCAAGGTGTAATCTTTGTTAGGTGCCTCTTGCAGCAGCCTGATATGGCAAAAACAGGAGCTTGGTTTGGGATGAAACACTGGCAAGGTCCCACTTGTAACTGATGTAAGATCCTTGTAAACTGAGTTAAGGCACGGTAGATCCATGAAACCAGTTGGCAAAGGATATTTTGGATGATAAAGTTTTATAAGAACTCATGGGGAGACAGGATAAATACCTGGAGCAGAAATCTGCTGAGGGTTACTAAGTGCACAGAAAGCACATTTCACTGAGGAAATGCTCCAAACTCAGAGTGACTGGGAGAGTAGTTGGGAAAATTATCATGTGTTTTCCTTGTTCGTGCTCTTCCTTGGTGACCACTTAGGATGGTGGCTGAAGCCAGGATATTGGGATAGTCTGACCCTTGGCTGTATCTGTGTTCTTGGGTTAGAAAAGCACAAATAACCTGGGGTAGAACCAAACACACACATTCAACTGCTGCCTCAAATACTTTTTCCATATGGACATTTTGAGGAGAGATACTCAAAAGTTGCATTGTTGAGTAGTTACAAGAGGAACAGCCCAATCAGGGTCCATGTGGCACAACCTCCAAGTAAACAGACTCTGACTTCCAGCTCTTTGTCTGAGTAAAACCGAGGGCAAAGTATAGAGGGGTGATGAACTCTCTTGTTTGGTTCCATCCACATTTGCCTGCAAATATTATATCCCCATTATCTTCAAGATCTCAGCAACAGCATTGCCAGCTGGGTACTTCAACCACTATCAGTGTTTGCGTTCCTGTTTAAATAAGACAGAGAGGTTAAAAAAAAAAAAAAAAAAGAAGAAGAAAAAAGAAGGGAGGGGAGAGAGACAAAGCAGAGCAGACTGTCTCATTTGGGTTGAAATTCTCATCTTGACTTCTTAAGAAGAGGGGGAGGGAAGAAGGGATTTTTGGTTTCCCCACTGAATTTCATTGAAAGATTCTAGAACCTCTCTCCTTTTTAAAATCCTGTTTTATTGACAAAAGCTGTGTTGGGGTAAAATCCACGGCAAGACCAGGAAGGGAGGGGGAGGGGGATTGAAAATCTCCCCTCCAGAGGTTAAACCTCTGCTAGGTGGTTGCTTTTGTTTTGTTTTGCTGTGCTTTGCCTTTGTTTGTGGCTCTCTCCTACTTGGCACCGAGAGAAGTCGCTGCACTTCTCTTCCACAGAATCAGTCACGCCGGCCGAGGTTCCCGCTGAGGATCTGTAAAGTTTTCCGAGCTCCAGGGAGTCGCTCTCAGAGCGTGTGGGGGCGGCGGGGCATCAGCAGCAACAGGGTCCGCGCTGCGGTGGCCGCTCTGTCCCGCCGAGCACTTGTAATTAACCGGGCAGGCGGTGAATTAAATCTTTGTCAAGCCCACCGAGCGGGGGGTTCCTGCAGACTCTTCTCCAGCCGGTCTCGGGCGGCCGGGATAACATCGGCAGCGGAGGCGAGCGAGAAGGGGGAGCCCGCTGGACGCCGCGGGAGAGCCAAGCCCCCGCTCGGAGCGAGTGCGGGGAGCTGCGGGCGGCGATGGGCGAGCTGTGCGGGGCCCGGCCGCTGCTGCGGCTGCTGCTGCTGCTGCTCCCGGCAATGCTGCCGCCGCTCCGGGCACAAGGTGAGTGCGGGAGCCGAGCCCAGTCGTGCCCGGGCTGGCTGCGCCGGCTGCGGGATGGCGGGGCTGGGGCGGCGGGGCTGCCCCCGCCGTGTCCTTCATCCCCGTGTCCCCGGAGGTCCCGGGCAGGCTTTAAAGTGCCGCTGCCACGTCCAAGTGAGCAGAAAGGCGTGGCGAGCACCGGCCCCGTCGGTGCCGCTGCCCCGGGCAGGCTCGGAACGGGGCTCCGCCGGGACGGGCTGTGCCGCGGGGCCGGGTGGGTCGGTCCGCCCGCCGGGATCCAGCCCGGGCTCCAGCGGCTGGAGCAGCCCGGAGGGTGTCCCTGCAATCGCGACATGTCGCGGTGGTGCCGCACGGTGCCCCCGGGCAGCCGGAGCGCCCGGAGGTGGCCCCGCGGTGATGGGTCCGGAGGTGCGAGCTCTGCTCTGCTCGGGGCTCAGCTACCCCCCAGAACACGGGGCACCGGCGGTTAGCTGGGACCCCGGCGGAGCGCGGGGAATCGTGGAGCAAAGGGTGCGGGCTTTTTGGAGAGCAAATGTGGAACACCTATGAACGGTGTGGTTGCTTTTGAAAGCAGAGCTCTGGATCCGGGCCGTGACTCCCTTCTCTTACTGCACGCTTTGCTCCCGATCTCTTAGTGCTGTCTGTAAAGAGGATATGAACCTACCTGATTTAATTCAGTGTAGCAATCCCATACAAATCTTAATTTGTAGGACATGACAAAGAAAGTACTTATCCTACGGTGATAATGAATTTGTCACACACAACAGGTAAGTGGCTTTTCCATTCGAGTAACCCCAAGGGGTCCATTCAGTGTTGAGGTTTGCTCCAGGCAAATGCTTAGAAACACGTGGTCTGTGGCCTGGCCCTCATAATGGCAGACAAGAGCCAGGAAGTAAATTATTTGTCACTTTTGCAGTGTTTTCAGTCATAGATTTTCAGATAGCAGAGCACTTGTCACAATTACCCTTGTATTTTATAAAGAGATGGTAGCCACTCCTTTTAAAGAGGGAGGGACAGAATAAAGATGGTTAGAAGAGCAGCATTTACCTCTAGAATCCCAAAATAGCTCCTACTTTCCCTCAGACAACAGAGTACATCAGCAAAACTGTGGCTTTGCTGCTCACAGTGTGCAGACACAGTCATTTTTAGCATTCAACATTATTGTAAAACATTGAAAAAATTCACTTTGTAATCTCTGTAACCTTATTTACTGGACAGCTTTTTAGAAAACTGAGAAGTAATTAGATATATAAGTTTAGGTGTTCAGAGTTTGCTTTAACACAAAGTGTAGCCAAATTTGGCAGTAAAAGGTATGTCAGGTTTTTATTCCCAAATACTCTAATTTCACTGAGAATTTCTACATCCTTAGAACTTACCAGTACACTGGATAGTAGTACTGAAGAAGATGAATTACATCATCATGGCCAGTCAGTGTATTAATAGTTCATCCTCTAACTCTGCCTTTGGCATGTCTTGGTACTACAAGCACAGACAGTTTTAACTCACTAAACATCTGGAAACATGTCTATTCAGGGGGAGCTTATAGTTGTAATAAAAAAAATGTTCCACTGACTTTGTGGAATGAGTTTTATTTTAAGATTATGATTTTTACATGTGCTTTTGTAACAGTAAATTTGTAAGAAGTATATGGGTGGAGGTAGGACACATAAAAGGCTAAATCTGTGCTTTCTTGCCTTCTGTCATAGATAGACCTCTCCCAAAATCACATACTACCAGTTCTAAAATATGAGTGCTAACTCTAAGTTAGTTTTTAATTGAGTTTTGCTTTAATGGTCCATTTTCAGACATGACATTTTATTGCAATTGGAGAAGAGCAAAATGTTAAGCTCTTGTTTTTCATCTGTGTAATTGAAAGCAGACACTTTAGTGAAATCCAAGAGAAACCCCCATAAACCAGCTTATCAAGTTACTTCAGTATATTTATACTGCTCTGTCGGATTTCAGGCTTTATCTGATAGCAGAGCAATGCATTTTTAAGGTTTGTTTTGTTTTGTTGCACTTTAGCCCATTCTGCAAGTTTCTTATCAACTTCACATGTGTTTTCAAACAAACTTGTGTTAAGACCAACTTGTTCCACGATATTTCTATTAACATTTTCTGAAATGAAAGATGGGCTTTAGCCCTCTGGAGCTTGACAGAAATAGAGTTACCTGGGACCATGAAAGACTTGAGTTTGGTTTTGAGAGTTCTAAAGAAGTAGCTGGTAAAATGAATTCAGTAAGCAGAGAATCTTGGCTTACCAGATGTAGTAATATAACTGTAGAGAATGAAAGGGGATGAGACAGAGAAGGTCAAGAAAGAGAGAGCTGAAATCCAAATAAAACAACAGGCAAGAATTTTAATGGTAGCACAGAGTGGGTTAGTGTGAAAGAGATAAATGAACAAAAGCTTTTGTAAAAATGCAGCAGAAAGTGAGGATTGATAGTGACATGGAGCAAAGGAAATGAATAAAGTTAGGAAAGAGCAAAGTAAGCAGGTTATTTTAGCCAGAACAGGCAAAAGCTGCTGTAAAGCACTCAGGAAATGTCAGGCATGTGTATTTATGTCTAGATTCGATGGAAGGAGGAAGCCAGGAGTGGGATTTCAATAGCTAAGTCATCACACATAATTAAACTGGGAGGGTGGATAACATTAAGATAAGATGTAAAAGTGGAGGCAGAAGACTGAGAAGATTGGAGGGTGAAAAAGAACAGAAAGAATGTCCACTAAGAAGTCCACAAAGGAGTTGTCAGAAGCAAGAGGGAAAACAGAGGAAGAAGTCACAAAAAGCATAAAGGAGAGAAAGGATCAGTACAGATCAGTGAAGAGCCCTAGGAGAATGTCAATAATTACTGGCCATAATATTTTGTGAGTAAAAATGAGCTTAGAAATGCTCAGAATAATGTCAGGTCCCTGGGGAAGGAGTAGTCCCTACAACAGTAATATAGTGGGTGATTTACAGTGACAGGGTGTGTGCAGTGAGGGACAACTGTGACAGTCCCCTACCTCTTCATCAGACTTGGGCAGGACTCTTGTCCTGCTGAAACCATCTTTGGTGAGACATGGGGACAGTGCAGTACGAGTTGTGTTGAAAATCTTCTCTGATCAACAGGACACAACAGTTCTAAAGCATCTCCCAGGCTGGTGCTCTCCTGAATATACCACAGATCTTTGACTCAGGCAGTTCGTGAAGCTTCTTGCCATCACTTTTTAAAACAAGTAACATTTCTTTTTTCCTCAGCACTCAGGAGTACTTTGGCTCTGCTCTGTACCTACTATAACCTACTTTAGACTTCAAAGAGTTGAGAATTGGCTGCTGGATCTTAAGAAGAAAGTAAATTTCTAGATTCTCAGGGATTGGCATTCATTTTCAGGTAATCAGATTAATGGAAGATTTTCGTTCAAAGAAAGCTGATGAAGCTTTGGCTGCTTAGCACACAGGCAGAGGATGTACATTGATTTCTGGGCTATAGTAACACCACAGACATCCTGTGCTGTAATAATAATAATAATAATGGCCCGTCTTCGCGAGCGAAGATCCGGGGAAGGTCTTTCCACCTTCCAGCCTGCGCATTGGATTTTTTAGGTGAGACACAGTGTGCGCGGAACTGAGCCCACCCTTTAATCCTAAGGTTCATCTGCCGGGGCCAAGCAAGCTTGGACGGTGGCAGCGAGGTCCTTAGGACGTAGGTGGGTTGCCTTTAAGGGCTAACGAGCCCCACCTGCCCGGGAGTGGCCCTGCCCGGGAATCGAACCCGGGTCTCGGCGGTGACAGCGCCGCGCCTTTACCACTAGACCACCAGGGACAAAGGTGCAAATATGTTACCACTAAAGGGTTTGGTTTTGAGTCCTGTCAAAATCAGGATTGAGACCTTAAACTTAGTAATAAAGAAAGCAATACCTAAAAAGATCTTTTGTATCAATGCTGAAGCAAGTGTATAGACATAGACATTGGTATATTCCGGCTTTGTAGGCGTTTCCAAGGATTTACTGAGCACTGAGAGGATATGCTGTGCAAATGCTACATCCATTGAAAGTGCTGCAATCTTCCAGCTTTGCTCTTGTCAGGGACTGAATTTCAGGTACTGAGGACTTCAAATATCAACACCTAGGCAGAGAACCTGGGAGAACTAGATATCCACACTCAGTACAGATAACTGTAATGAGGAAAATCTCCTGTAAGAGTTCTAGTGATGTTTTCTCCAAAGGAAACCTTCCCCAAAGCATTGCTACATAATCATATGCAAAAAAAGGGATCTTTATTTTCTCCCTGCTCTGTAAAGTCTGTGGTTCCTTCCATACTTGAACCTCGACCCCTTGTGCTATAAATTTTATCCCATCTGCTTAGTGTTTCCAGACTATTCTTCAAACATAGCAGTGGTAGAATATCAGAATCTTTCATCATTGTCTCTCTTCTTTTTTATATTCCCCAATAAGCATGCTGCCTACAGAGTAGATCCATTTCACCCTAGCAGTATGTAAAAGCATAGTTATTCTTGCTAATTTTCTGGTCAGATGAAAACAGAGAAATCCCAGTGTGAAAATATTTTTCCTGTAACCCTTTCACATGAGAAAATACAGGAGTGCTTGAGCATGTATGTTTGATATTCTGCGACATGCTGCTCTCTCATATTTTCATTCTTATTTCAGCTTTAATTTGAATATATACATATACTTGGACTCAATCCAAAGCTCTGTAAGGTCTATCCAAAGACTGTTGTTTACTGCAGAACATTTTGGATCATGAGCCTGATACAAATAAACAGGACTGGCAATAGATTAAGTGTAACACCTTATATAAAACTTTCTAATCACACTTCTTTTTTTTTTTTTTCCCTCTAAGATTTGAAATGCAAAATCAAAAGAAGATTAAAATTTGTTCTTAAATGAGAAAGCCTGAAGTGGCACTTTTTCTATCAACACCCTGTGAAGTAATTTCATTATTTGCATGATATTCTCATACAGGGAGGGGTGAAGGATAAAGTTTAGGATGTGCTTGT